GTGTGTGTGTGTGTGTGTGTGTGTGTGTGTGTGTGTGTGTGTGTGTTGAGACAGGGTCTCACTATGTAATTGAGACTGACCTGGAACTGTGTAGCCCAGGCTTGCCTCGAATTCACAGCGACCCTCTTGCCTCAGCCTCCCGAGTGCTGGGATTACAGGCATGGGCCACCACGCCTGGCTTTTTATATTTTTTTTAATTTTTAAAGACAAGTTCTTGCTAAATTGCACAAGTTTGCCCCCCCCCCGGAGATTGAACTCTGGGACCTTGCACTTTCAAGGTAGGTGGTGGAACCACTGAGCTAAATCCCTGACTAAATCCCTAGGCATCAATTTTTTTAGTAAAGGTGTTTGTTTGTTTGCTTGTTTTGTTTGGTACCAGGGATCAAATTCAGGACCTTGCACTAGCCAGGCAGGCTGTAGTCCCATTGAGCTAAAGCCCCAGCCCTGGCATCAAATTTTTGACCCTCCTACCTCAGACTCCCAAATAGCTGGTATTACAAGCATGTGTGTTTGCTTTCAAATGTTTTATTTTCATTCTTGATTTGATTGCTAGTAGATGGTGATAAAAAAAACTGAGATGTTTATTGTGCACATTAAATTACACTACACTTCTAGAGAAAAAAGATACAGAAATATTTTTTAAAGTAAAATATAAAGTTCTCCTATAAATCCAGGATTTTTTTGCGGAAAGTGTTGTTTTTGTTTCATTGTCTTGCTTTGTTTTTTGAGGCAGCTCTCAGTATACAGTTTAGGCTGGCCTTGAACTCAGTATGTAACCCAGCCTGGCTTCGAACTTGTCAGACCCCCACCCAGGCAGAAGAGCTAACTTTCCAAGGCAACACCTTCACACACCCTATAAGATAAAAGGGATACCAGGAAGGCAAGGCCTGGGTTCCAGAATAACAGCCAGCTGGCCCCACGTAGCAACAACTGTGGGTTCAGACACCCCTGGAGACCACCCGTCTTCCTCCACCCCAGTACAGAAGACTTCTTCCACTCCAGGATAAAATTTCCCACTCCTCCTGGCACTACCTGTCGCCTACCCAAACTCCCCTGTAAAGTTTCTCCTTGCCTGAACCCCCGTGGTCAAAGGCTGTGTCACCTTTGACTGGCTGGCACCCAGGCTCAAAATAAAAGCTTATTTATTGCTTCATTTTTGCCTGCTCTGGTGGGCTCCGATTTGCCTCAGTTTACCCTAACAGAACTCACCGTGAATCTCCTGCCGCAGCCTCCTAAATGCTGGGATGACAGACATAGGGTACTGGGGATCAAACTTGGGACCTTATGCTTATGAGGCAGGCAGCGGAATCACTGAGCTAAATCCCCAGGAATTTTTTAACCACTAAAAAATTTGTTTTTTTTTTTTTCCCTCGCTTTACTGATTGAATCTTTTGCTTTACAGAGCTTTTTAGTCTGATGTAATCACATTTGTTGATGATTGCTATTTCCTGTGCAACTGAGGTTTGTTTAGAAAAATCCTTCCCTATTCCTTTGTCTTCGAATGTTTTACCTATTTTGTGTTCCAGAAGGTTTGTTTCTGTTTTAATGTTTAGATCTTTGATCCATTTTGATTTTAATTTCGTATATGGTGAGATATAAGGGTAATCACTAAAAAATTTGGATCTATTTCTATGCTTTTTTATATTTCTTGTTCCCCCGCCACTTTAGTACTAGAGAGTGAACCCAGGGTCACCACACTGAGTTACATCCCCAGCCATTTTTATTTTTTATTATTTATTTATTTGTTTGTTTGGCTGAATTCGTGATCTTCCTGCCTCATCCTCCCAGAGTGCTGGGATTACAGGCCTGGGCTACTACAACCAGCTTGAATATTTATATTATTTGGCTATCCTTTTTCCTTCTTATAAATCATTCCTTCTTTCTCCTTCAAGCAGAATTTAAAAATTTTCTACTTCCTAAATATATCTTTTGGAGTTTAATTCTAATATTTATATCATCTAAAGTGAGTTTGTCTCACCTTCATTATTGTACAATTCGTGGGTTATACTTTTTCTCAAATAACTGCACAAACTGTTCTACCATCTCCTAATTTCCCATGCCGGGTGTGCCTGTAATCCCAGCACTTGGGAGGCTGAGGCAGGAGGATCTCTGTGAGTTCAAGACCAGCCTGGGCTGGATAGTGGGTTCCAGGTCAATCTCAACTGACAGGGTGAGACCCTCTCTCAACACCTCCCCCGGAAAAAGTCAGTGATCCCAGATACAGTAGTGCATGCCTATAACCCCAGCTCTCAGGAGGCTGAGGCAGAAGAATTGTCATGAATTTCAAGCCAGTCTAGGCTATATAGTGAGTCCAAGGCCAGCCTGAAGTACATAGCAAGACCTTGTCTCAAAACAAAACACCTTAATAAAAAAAATTTTTTTTTGTACCAGAGTTTGAACTCAGAACCTTGCACTTGCGAGACAGGCACCTGAACCACTGAGCTAAATCCCTTAATAAAATTTTTAAAGAAAGGGTTGAGGAGGTAGCTAATTGGGAGAGCACTTGCCTAGCACGTGCCAGACTCTGGATTCAGTCCTCAATTAAAAACAAACACTCTGGAGGCTGAGGCAGGAGAATCGCTGTGAGTTCGAGACCAGCCTGGGCTACATAGTGAGTTCCAGGTCAGTCTCAACTGCATAGTGAGACCCTGTCTCAAAAAACTAAAAACGGACAAACAAAACGCAGTGGTATAATTTGTCTTTGTCGTTCCAACTAATTTTGGAAAAAAATCATTGTCCACGAGAGTAAGCTTGGGGGAAATCAGCAGATTTCAGCATTATTCAGTGGCAATGAACATAAGAATAACATGCTCCAATACAGCTGAGCAGCTTCTCTTTTCCCTCCTTTTCTCCTCTTCAGTGCTAGGGATTAAACTCAGTCACACCGCCAATGAGCTACATTCCCATTAGAGCAGCTGGGGTTACAGGTGTGATCACTGCACAGGCTCACTGGGCTTTCTGCCAGTACCTGTCAATTGGGCAAGATGATAAATTTTCAAATGTTGCCCATTTAAAATTTTAAAAGTATGTATTTATTTATTCATTTATTTTTGTGGTACCGAGGATTGAACTCAGAACCTTGCGCTTGCAAGGTAGGCGCGATGCCATTGAGCTAAATCCCCAACCCCTTAAAACTGTTACTATTATTAGTATTATTATTAGACAAGATCTTGCCCTGTAGTCCAGGATGGCTTTGTACACTATGTTGCCCAGACTGGCCTTGAACTTGCATTGATCCTCCTGCCTCAGCCACCTGAGTGCTGCTGGAATTACAGGCGTGCACCACCACACCCAGCTTTGTATAGTAAATTTCTGTCCACACATAAATTACAAACATTTTTCCAGTTTATTGTACCTTTTTTCTTTTGGTACCAGAAAGTGAACTTGGGACCTTGAGCTTGCAAGGCAGGTGGTGGCATCACTGAGCTAAATCTCCGCCCTCTTGTTTGAGGGTCTGGCTATGCAGTTCAGGCCGGCCTTGAACACCCTAAAGTAGCCCAGGCTGACTTCAAACTCGCCATGATCCTCCTGCTTCAGCCTCCTGAGTGCTGAGATTACAGACGTGCGCTACCACACCTGGCTATTGTACTTTTTTTTTTCTTATTTTTTTGGTATAAGGGATTGAACTCAGGACTTTGTGTTTGCAAGGTAGGCAACGAAACTACTGAGTTAAATCCTTGGCCCAGGTACATTTTAAAACTTGGTTTATATGGTTTTTGACAGGTAAATTTATGAAGATTTTCTGTTTTGCAGCTTTGTGGTAGCTGAGCACTATCCAGTTTTCAGGATTATACAATGTATTTATCTTCCCTTCCCATAGTTTTAGGATTTTATTGTAACATTAACATTTTTAACTCTCCTGAAATGTATTTATATTCAGGGCCGCTTTCTGGTTTCTCTCCCAGAAAACAGAGATCAGGTGTTGCCTAGCAGCCTCCACTTAGGAGTTCGGATTCTTCATGACGGAAAACAGCCGCAGGGTTCCAAATTGAGCGCAACCTCAGAGCGTTGCGTAGTGACCTCGTTTTCAGACGACGCGATTGGCTCCTCTACAAGTCCCTTCCCCAGTCTCCTGCGCCACACCGAAGAGCAATTTAATCTCTGTGTTGGAAAACGAGGACGTCTTACGCGTTGCCTAGCAACCACGTCTCCCCGCCCTCCCTGGGAACCCGGGTCAGATTAGGAGCCCCGCTCAAAGATGGCGGCCGAATGTGTTTCGTTCTATCTCAGACAGTTTTGTTCCAGACAGTTTTTACAATAATCCAATACTTCCCACGAGGTCTTTGAACGGCCTCACTATGGCCTGTGTGAGACTTCACGCTGCGGGCGGGAATTCCCCGGTCCCCGGGTCCGAGGGCCCGGCCCGGGCCGGGGGCCTGGTGGCCGATGTGGTGTTTGTGATCGAGGGCACAGCCAACCTGGGCCCCTACTTCGAGGAGTTGCGCAAACACTACCTGCTCCCGGCCATCGAGTGAGTGCGGTCCCGCGAAAAACCCCGCCCTCCGAGTTTAGTTGTCCACATCCTGTGCCTGACCCCATTTTCCCCGGGTCCGAGGGCCCGGCCCGGGCCGGGGGCCTGGTGGCCGATGTGGTGTTTGTGATCGAGGGCACAGCCAACCTGGGCCCCTACTTCGAGGAGTTGCGCAAACACTACCTGCTCCCGGCCATCGAGTGAGTGCGGTCCCGCGAAAAACCCCGCCCTCCGAGTTTAGTTGTCCACATCCTGTGCCTGACCCCATTTTCAACCCTTGTCCTCGCAGGTATTTCAATGGTGGTCCTCCTGCGGAGACGGACTTCGGGGGAGACGTGAGTCTGTGGCCCTTCCGGCTGAAGAACCTGGGCCTAGACCCCCGGGGTTGAGGGAGGAGCCCGGGCATGGACCCCCGGGTCTGAGGGGGGAGCCCGGGCATGGACCCCCCGGGTCTGTGGGAGGAGGCCGGGCCCGGACCCCCGGGTCCGAGGGAGGAGGCCGGGCCTAGATTGTGGGTCTGAGGGACCCAGACTCCCCCCACCCCCTCCCGGCTGGTTGGGAGAAGCTGTGAGGAGTTTCTGGTGTTTTACCAACAGGAAACTGGAAGCTCCAACCTCTTTCCTAAGGGAAAAAGTTCATGTCCCTGCTTAACAATACTTCCTCTGCCTTCCTACCCAGTATGGGGGTACCCAGTACAGCCTTGTGGTCTTCAACACAGTGGACTGCGCCCCGGAGTCCTACGTGCAATGCCACGCTCCCACCAGCAGCGCCTATGAGTTTGTCACCTGGCTTGATGGCATTAAGTGAGCTTTTCTCCACACTTTGGCTGGTTAGGGGAATCCTGAGGGACTGTGAAAGTGTTAGCTTGGGCTTGAGCTTCAGGATCGGTTCCCTCACACCACTCACTCTGAGTGAGTGAAGGAACTGTGAGGGTGATTGTGGTTTTGTTTCTAAGTCACTTGTGGGTTCCGTGTGCTCAGCAATGTTGCCATCTGGTTGTGGAATGGAGAAAACTTCCTGTTGGGCTGACTTGGTTGAGCTCCAATAGCTGCCTTATGTTCTGTATGTGTTTCTCCTTCTCTGTCCCCTCCTGCCCTGTTGTCTTGTCCTCTTTCAGATGGGGACTTGATGCCTGAAAGCAGAGGGTGGCGCTTAGCCAGTAGAGATCCCTCTAAGGTTTAGGTCAGAGTTTGATAGTTGCTACTGCAAGCTGAACTGTAGCAGCCTATTCACCAACTAAACTTTTAGACTCGAGTCCCTGACACACAGGACTTCATTCTTGCTGGTAGTATTTTTCATTTTTTTGTTTATTTTGTTTTGTTTTTTGGTACCCAGGATCAAACTCAGGACCTTGCTCTTGCGAGATACGCATGGTGCCACTGAGCTGAATCCCTGGCCCTGTGTTTTCTTTTGTTTTTTTGAGACAGGGTCTCCCTACGTAGTTGAGACTGACCTGGCACTCACTGTGTAGCCCAGGCTGGTCTTGAACTCACAGTGATCCTCCTGCCTCAGCCTCCTGAGTGCTGGGATTACAGACATGCGCCACCACACCCGGCATGTGTTTTGTTTTTTGAGTCTCCTATGTAGCCCAAGCTGACCTTGAACTCATGGTGATCCTTCTGCCTCAGCCTTCTAAGCACTAGAATTACAAGTGTGGGTGGTGCTCCACACCTGGGTGTTAGTAGTATTAAATTAGTTATCCATTGGTCCATAACAGGTTACCCCGAAGTAATGAATTCAGGAGTGGTGGTAGACGATTCAGCTCAGAATCTCCTGTGCACTTAGAATCAATAAGGGTTGGGCAGGGCGGGGCGGGGCCGGAGGCCTCACTGTGCTTGTGCCTGTTGGCCGGAGATCGAAGTTCCTTGTTGGCACCTGGCCTTCCTGAGTGACGGATCTGATATGGAGAGCAAGAGGAGGCCACCAGGCCCACTGTGGTGGTGTGTTGGAAGCCTCACGCCATCACTTCTGACATGTGCTGTTTGCTGTAGGAGTTTGCCCTGTTTTGGGTCAGAGGGGATCACGCCCTGTGGGGAAAACAGGAGATGGGATTTGGGGGGTCTCTCATGGGGCAGGCAACCCCCAGCCCATGGGATGTTTCGACAGTGAAATGAGGTGAGGACTGTACTTCAGGCTGTGCCTGGCACATAGGAAATGGCCTGTAAGCATTTCCCATATGTTTATGCCTCAGTTTCCTGGTTTGCAAATGGGTGGGTCTAAGCGTTTTGGGAAGAATCACAGGAGGAATTGTCTGTACTGTGCAGCACACAGGGTCTAGCTGCGGTCAGGCTTTGTTAAAAAGCAGCAGCGGTCAGTGGCTGCCCTGACTTTTAACACTTACGGACTGAATGTGGGTGCTGAGCACTTGCTGTGTTCTGGGTGTGTGCAGAGCCCACGATGGAAAACTTGACACCTGTTTCCTTTTCATAGTCTCTGTCTCGGCGTTTTATTGATTGCCTGAGATGAGGTCTTGGTGTCTTGCCCAGGCTGGTTCCCAGTTCCACCATCCTCAGCTTGCTGCAGTGTTTGTTTCATTCTGGAGCTGGCAACTGAAGCATCCTTGAGTTATAGATGGGTGCTTTACTCTGGGCTACATTCCCAGCCTTTGTAAGGATATTTTTGCCATCCTGCAGATTGAACCTAGCACTATTACCATTGAGCCACATTCCTAGCCTTTTTAATATTTTTCATTATGAGACAAGGTCTTGCTTAGTTGCTAGAGTTGGCCTCAAACTTGCAGTTTTCTTGCCTCAGTCTTCCAGAGTAGCCTGGATTATGAGTGTGGGCCACTAGGCCCAGGTTTTCTCACTCTCTTTTTTTTTTTTTTTTTTTTTGTTGTTGTTTGAGACAGGGTCTCATTATGTAGTTGGGACTGACTTGGAGCTCAATATGTAGTCCAGGCTGGTCTTGAACTCACAGCGATCCTCCTGCCTCAGCCTCCTGAGTGCTGGAATTATAGGTGTGTGCCACCAAGCCCGGCTTCAGGGTCTATTTTTTGAAGCAAAACTTTTATTGATACATTTTAGATATACCTAATTATAATATTTATCCTAGTGTTTGTACCTGTATATGATAATATCTTGCTGCTTTTTTTCCCATTCCCTCTCCTCCTTTCAACCCCTCTTCCCTTCCTTATAAAAGCTATGCTTCCATTTTTTCCTTCTATTTTCTTTTTTCCTTTGTCTCTTCTTTCCTTTCCCTTCTCCCTTTCTCTTGTTCCACTTCTCATTTGAACATTTTCTCTGCATTTCCCAGTGTCTATTATACATTTTGGATTTTATTCCACTTTCGGTTTCTCACACTGAAGAAACAATGCAATACACTTGTGTGTCCAATTTTTTTTTTTTTTTTTTTGAGACAGGGTCTCACTGTGTAGCTGAGACTGATCTGAAACTCAGTATGTAGCCCAGGCTGGTCTCGAACTCACAGTGATCCTCCTGCCTCAGCCTCCCGAGTGCTGGGATTACAGGCCTGCGCCACCACACCTGGCTCCTGTGTGTCCAATTTATCTCACTTAAGAGTATGGTCTCACGGGTTGGGGATTTAGCTCAGCGGTTCCAGTGCCTGCCTCGAAAGCCCAAGGGCCTGAGTTTGATCTTTGGCACCAAAAAAAAACAAAAAAAAAAAAAAAGAAGGGT